TAATTACAATATAGTTTGCCAGTGTAATATGAATTAATGAGAGAGGTATTTGCTCGGTTGTAACGCAGTGATGTGATATTTGCATATGATGGATCTCTAAATACAAAAACATTGCCAATATATTGTGTATTAAACATGCAACAAATTCAGATCAGATCAGGTACAGATTTCCAATGTCAGAGTGGTTACTGGAAGATGGTAGCTTAACTTCAAATGGCCCTTATAGATACTTTTAGGTTTAATATATAAAAGTATGTCTTTCATCATAAAAAGTGTTTAAAGTCTTGTTTTTATTCAGAGCAGCTGCTTCTCTTTAATGCATAAATTTTATGCAAGATATTTTGAGCACTTTGTTTTTACCCTAACCATTTTATTTTCCATTGCTTTGTTGTTGTCTTTCTGGTCCCTTGCACTAATGTAGACTTACTTCCCTCCTAATGTAAGCCCTCTAGATAAAAGTGTCAGATAAAATGCCTAAATGGAAATGAAAATGTGTGAGGCACTTTAGGTTTGTATTTAATCAGATGCACAAACACGGAGGGCAATTTGAAGCGTACGACTCGGAAAATCACTCAGGTTCAAAAAGTCAGCGTTGTACTTTTATTTCTCTGAAGTGACTGTGAAATATTGCAGATGAATAGATCAAGCTGTAGGTTTGGAAATGTGGAAACCAGAGGAGGAAGGTAAGCACATTTATTACAGTGAAAGCACAGTTTTAAAAACTTGCTTTTGACTTCAAGCTGTACGGCCTCATTATTCCATGTCGAGGACAGGAGAAAAGACACTTAACCACCAGTCTATGTGGAAGAAGATGTATCTCATAATATTATGTTGGTATTAGATATTTAGTGCCACTGTTGGTTGAATTTATAGGTGTAGAGTTACTACATTGTTTTGTGTGATCTGAGCACACCAATTATATACAACTTGACTCCAGATGAGTGGAACATGTATTTTAAATTAACATAAGTATAATTAACTCCAGTCCAAAAAGACCAAATTCTGGCTATTTGTCTTTACTCCAATGAAAAAACGCTATTCACATGTCCTGGTTTGATCCTGCATCAGTTTAAGATCTGCGACGCTGGCTGTGTTAGTTTATTGGAAACATGCATTACTGTCAACGGACCTACATGTAGAGAACTTAACTAGCTTCAAGCTGTTCATCTTGATTAATAAGCAATATGACATTTTGAGGAAGGGCCTGTCGGCATTATCTCAATAAGAGTTATTGAAAGTAAATGTGTGGAATAAAAATGTGACTTAAAATGTTTTAATGTGCAATGTGACAACGTTTTGTGTTCTCTTGTCTCCCAGACTTCTACAGTATTCACTACACATCACATGTAGTTATTTTCCCCACCGTGACACGCATTCAATCATAAGTCTGACCCTTAAACTGACAGTGACATCAAATTATGCAAATTCTAAAACTAGTCCTCTGTAATGTTTGCAAGTGCCACTATTTTCTGAGAGAAGGTCTTCAGAGGATGAATGAATCAGTGAATCTTATTTGTGTTTTTATTTATTGCCATCAAAGTGCAATTTAGCACTACATAATTAAAATGTGTTAGCACCCTGCGGAGCTGAACAAAACAAAACATGGTGTTGTTACCAATGTTACACACGGAGTCCTATTATAGGACAGTATGTCATTAAGCTCTAACAAATACATTCAGTCTCCCTTGAACCCAGAGTGGAACTTTTAAGCGATTTAACCCCAATTATTTGCATTTACTTGTTGTCCTCTTCTTGTCTTTTTGCATATTGCATCCTTTTAACGTCTAGCTACTATAACCAACATCTGTAGCAGGCAGTGTGGTGTGCGTTGTGGTGGTAACACATAAGAAACAAACAATACAGATCAGCTGATCAACACATCTGAGACTAGTGGTTAAAAAACACCACTCTCCATTCACTATAATATCTATATGACATATCATCAAACAAATCCATTGCATCTTCCATTACAGCCAATAAGTGTTCCTCTTTAAGTATGATTATAGTGTAACTGATGAATTAAAGTTTGCACTCATTGACAGCCACTTATAGGCTTTTTCTTTTGTTGGATAAAGATTTAATTATCGCAGTAATCCATCAATGTCACAGTGACTCCTTGGCGGTACATTAATGAGACACTAAAACATTATTTTTTTACAAAACCAATACTGCTTGGTCAGGGCTTTACTAACTATCCTCCCCCTGTGACTCTAAGCTTCCACACGGCTGCTCTACTTTTAGTTTGGCAGGTGAAGAGTTAACTCATCAGCGTGGAGTAGCGGCAGGCGGTGATTGGTGCCGAAATGAGCCCGAATTGAGCTTTCATGCATAAGACTGCAGGACAGGTGGTTTTCTCTCCAGGGAGCGCTGTGTGCAGCTCATCCAGCGGTGAATGGGATTGAGGTGAATGTGATTGAATAGGCTGAAACAGGGCCTGATGGTGGCTGTGTGTGTGAGTGTGTGTGTGTGTGTGTGTGTGTGTGTGTGTGTGTGTGTGTGTGTGTGTGTGTGTGTGTGTGTGTGTGTGTGTGTGTGTGTGTGTGTGCGTGCGTGTGTGTGTGGCTCTGCAGCATTAAGTTGCTTTAAGCCCTCTACCATCCAAATCCGTCTTTTTGATCAATAGCACTGATAGCTTCAATATTATAACCGTTTATGTGTGTGGGTGTGTGTGTGTGTGTGTGTGTGTGTGTGTGTGTGTGTGTGGGGGGGGGGGGGGCACTCATATTGCTGCAATCCCAAAAGCATCTACTAAATAAGACGAGAGAAAGGGAGAAACTAATGGATCCATTTTTGCTTGTTACTGCACCGGGGGTTAATGATGGTATCTGCCCAGCTGAGAATTATTGGCTCTGGATTTATTTACACTAGCAGTATTTTAAATTGCACTGGCAATAAATTAAAAAGCAATATATGTGTCATACATCGAGGAAAACAAGGGAAAGAAAGTTGGCCATAGTTGGGAATATTTCAAAGATGAATGTGTTTGAGGTTTAGCAGAAATATTACAGGCAATGAATCAGGGTAAATGGCAGAAGGAAAACACTCCTGAATAAATAATAATCGGCAAATAATTATGATGCAGCGCACAAAAACAACAGCTTAATTTACTTTAAACTGTTAATGATCCATATTTGTCACTGTATCCAGACTAACATTAATATAAGAGAGCAAAATGATGAATCTATAAAGGACTGAATGCAGGGGTTTAGAAGCAAAATGCACACAAGCAGAAGACACTGTGCACTGGATTGTTTTATTTTGTGGGATTTTGAATGTCAAATCCCTTTTAGCTTAAAGTTTAATGATGCGCATAACCTTTATTTCATCTCTAAACCATTTAAGTAGAGAATATTGCCCGTTTAAAGATGCTACAGAGAGTGAGGCCCGTCAGGAAACACTTCTTTGAACTTGTGTACGAGCTCTTTAAAATAGTATGTAATGTCATTATTAGAAAGCACCGTGTGTTTAGAGGGCATGCACTGGACTCCATTTAATAACGCTGGCAGGAAAGCCAATTTAGCTGCTTGAACTTTTTTGTGCATTTTAGAAAATACATTTCCCTTATCGGATTCACTCCTTAATAACATTCTGATAGAAAGTGCATGTGGGTCAGCTTTCTGTTTATTCCGTCTTCCAAGGATTTTTCATCTCAACTTAAACACGATGTGTGTGCTGCGTGTATAGTCGTTTTTTTATTTCTACTGGGTTGCTTGTTATTTATGCTGCACACTCACGATATGTCCTTGATGGTTTTTTTGTATACATTTGACGCATTGACTGTTTAAACATGCATCTATATTGTGTCCCTGGCCAATAAACTAAGGTAAAAAAGAGGACACTGACCTTATGTTCCTTTAGCAGCTATATGAGAGTGGGGTACATATGCAAACACCTCCTCCTTTTCAATTTTGGGTTTTAAATATATGCTCGCTAGCCTGGTGTCAACATCATTCATGACAGGGCTTTCTTCTCTCCTCCTCTCGATGAAAGCCCATCTGTTCTCACCTGTAGCTCTCCCGCATACAGCAGTGAATACTAGGAGCCTTTAAGCCATTAGCTAATGATCAGGGATTGTTGGATGCCCCACTCAAGTGCTTACTCACAGTGCGGTAATGGAGGTCTGCTGGTTTGGAACAGGCGACAAAAAGGCCACAAAGAGATCCCATCCATAAAATGTCAAGAAATAATTTGCCAAAGGGTAATTTCCACATGTTGTTTGAACACGGTGTTTTCAATCCAGAACCCCTTGGTGCATGCATAGGGCAAGTGGCTGAGATGTTACATTTGGTGTAAACTAATGAATTGATGAATATGTATGTGCTCTCCCACACAAGGCTTTCTGCTCGGGGTTATGTGAGGGTGAAAAGGAAGCTTTCACATTGTAATGATAATGTCAAGGAAGCACTGTTTTTATGTTTAATAAGAGCTGAGTGTCATTTAATTTCCCATTCTATCTTAATAACATGTTTTTATTCTGACTCGTCATTTCAACACGCACATCTAACATGTATTGTTAAACAAACAAAAAAGATTGGTGAGGGAAATCAAATATATGTAAAATACCTAAAAAGCCAATTATAGTTAACTATATAACCGTTACTGATGCATCATTCGGATTTGTTTCTCAAATTGGACCTTTAACACAATAGATCCTGCTACTCGGTCCATAAAGTGTTGTCCTCCATATTGTCCCTCATTGTGCTCTGCAAGTAGGAGCATGGATTCCGCTCAGCACTGCCGCAAAAAAACACTTTAAAACTGAATCTATACAGCCAGAGCACCCAGAGTACGGACTGAAATGCATCACTAGGGATCCATTTTGCTAAAATATGCTTCTACGTGTATTTCTGTTGTCCAGACTTTCTAAAATCAATTAGGATTGGATCTGGATGTGCCACAAATGGATTAGGGCTGGCAGTCTGGATAGGGCCTGATAGCCAGTGGCTGTAGCCAACAGCATCTGCACACACACACACACACACACATTTCTGTCCACTCACCCAGATGTTGCCGTCCTGATGGTATGGTTTCCAGTTCCTGCCCGTGTCGCTGTAGAGGAGGCGGTACCGCGTGGTCCAGTCGGAGCTGCTGTAGCGGCCCTGCGTGGCCACGGAGCTCACCTGCTTCCTGGAGCCCAGGTCCACCTGGAGCCACTGGTAATGGTCGCTGTCCAGAGGTGACCAGCCACCAGCACCTGGGAGACAGCCACATTTACAGTAAAGGTCACCTATTATGCAAAATCCACTTTTCATGTCTCTTCTACATCAACATGTGTCCCCTCTTCTCCGTATCTCTTCTACATCAACATGTGTCCCCTCTTCTTCATGTCTCTTCTACATCAACATGTGTCCCCTCTTCTTCATGTCTCTTCTACATCAACATGTGTCCCCTTTTCTCCATGTCTCTTCTACATCAACATGTGTCCCCTCTTCTTCATGTCTCTTCTACATCAACATGTGTCCCCTCTTCTTCATGTCTCTTCTACATCAACATGTGTCCCCTCTTCTTCATGTCTCTTCTACATCAACATGCGTCCCCTCTTCTTCATGTCTCTTCTACATCAACATGTGTCCCTCTCTTCATGGTCATGTGTCTTCTACATCAACATGTGTCCCCTCTTCTTCATGTCTCTGCTACATCAACATGTGTCCCCTCTTCTTCATGTCTCTGCTACATCAACATGTGTCCCCTCTGTGGAAAGAGACTCTGAAAGTTTCAGGAAAAAAGATTCTCTCTCTTTTTGTCCTGATGTATTTCTATAAAAACCTGTCTGAAAATGAGCTGATCAGATTTTGGCCATGCACTTTATGATGTCATAACGATGTTTTGGCTTGTGTAACCATTAGCCAATCACCAACCAAGGTAACCCCCCCCCCCCCCCCTCATCACCTGAATCTCCTCCTAGAGCACCATTGTGTTCTTTGTAACCAAATCTCTCTCAGAGGGGCGTGGGGAGGGGGGTCCTTATTTTCATCTAAAGTAACAGACAGAGAATCAGCACTTTGGAAACAGGGCTGAAACAGAGGGGATTATGGGTAATGCTGCAAGGATCTGATTGGTGTTTGGAGCCAAACACTTCAGAGACATGTTCTGTATATATCTGAGACCTGTGATATATTGATGAAAAACAGTATAATAGGGGACCTTTAATAATGAGAGGGGGTTCTATGGTGGTTTTCAAATACCTCATTTACCTTTACAAGTGATCTTCTCTATGAGTTCAAATGGCTTGGCCCTGGTTTAATTGAGTAAATAGTAACAAGTGTAGGAAGTATGTGTTTTTTTCTGTTGCGCATTATTATTTCACATGCAGTCGCTGCTGTTCAGGGACGCCCAGCTTCTCGAGTCTGAGACAGACCGAGCAGCAGCATGGTCCCGACATAATGGCATTTAACAAAGAGAATGTGGAGTTCCAAGGTTACACAGACCTTCCTATTATACATGGTCAGTGTCCAGCAGGGAGCAGCCCAGACATTTACTTAAAATATATATATGTATGTATAAATATATAATTGTTCCTCGTCTAGCACAGCAGGCACCTCGACTTGTTGAGGAATGGCATCAGCATGAATCCCATTCCAGGATGGATTCCTTTTTTAATATCGGTATGCGAGACAGAATGAGGCACCTGAGGAGTTCACTTTCATAGAGATGTTTTCAGTTACAACTCTTATGCCAAGAATGAAAACTATGCTAAGAATATGAGCACAGCATTAAAACTGGGTTACGGCTGATATCTATTTATCACAAAGTGCTTACACAGAGTAAAACTGGGATGACACATTGCCTGGATATGGAAATATGTACAAATGCAAATAGAATCAGATAGAAGCCCCTTCACACTGACAGTTACATACGGTTATCTGCACATATTTGCAGCTCAGCTCTGGTTCAATAAACATCCTGGAGTGCAGATTTAAGTGATATTTCACTCTGGTGGAACTACTTTTTTTAAATGGTCTGAAAATGTATAATATAAACAGGGGAAATACATTTTCTGAATGTAAAAATATCTCTTTACCCTTTATTTCCGCCTTTCATATGGTATGAAAACCCAGCTTTTAAGAGTTGTACGATCTCCCATACTGGGTAGGTGCACTTAAGATGAAATATTGCTTGACTATCTCTGAGTGCAGCTCAGTGCTATTTTCCTATGGTTTCTGTGTCTTCTGTCTGAATAGATGGCTGTGTTTGTATTCAACATTTTTCAGTGGCAGTCTAGCCGAAACCTCATGGCTGATTACCAGACAAATATTCATGTGTCCTCCAAAACATTGCCCCCCTTCACACCTCGAGGTGTCTAATTGAGGCTGGGCCAGACTCCATTGGACCTCACAGGTTAAATGAGCCTCAGGTTTAATGTTGCAGAAACAAAAGCAACAGCAAGACAGAAGAGCAGGAAAAATGCCAGACAGGAACCCAATGCCCTGATTTCATCTGCCATTATAAAAGGAAAACAATATGTATGATGCCACTCTCCGTGTGAGGCATGAGGCTACTGCAATAGCATTTAAACCAATGTGAGCGATACCAGATGTTTGCATACTGAGTGCATTCACATTTAAACAGATGTGAAAATTAGAGACCTCACACCAAGCAGTGAAAAGTATGAGTGCCACAAGCAGTCGAGCCTGTGACAGAATGTGAGTGGGTGGTGGATGGACTGCGAACCGGCCATGTCACGGCCGTCTCCTTTGATTCCTGTGATGGATTTTTTTCAAAAAGGACACAAATACAGATAAGAGAGTGACGGACTGAAAGCACAAGTGAAGGAGAATGACAGATAGAGAGAGCGAAACCAGATCCAAGGGGACAAAGTGAGAGAAATGGAGATAGCAGGACCAAAAAAAAGTACAAGAGAGTGGGAGAGGAGCGTTGTGAAGGAGGCATGAGAGATGATAGTGATATGATAAAAAAGAGGCAGAGGCAATATGTGATGTATTCCCCCCCCCATCCTGGCAACAATCCTATATCTTATCCAATTACAGAGCCATTACACTCCAGCCCCGGCCATGACAGATAACCAGGTCCATATCACTGGAAATGTCAATACCTCAAAAACCCGTTGCAGCAAAGCCGCTCCTTTAGGCGGATAAAACACCATCAAAAGGGAGAAGGGGTGGAGGGTGACACATTGGGTTCGGGAGGGGCGGGGCCATAGTGATAAGCAAACAGACAGTGGAAAATATAGATTAAGAAAGCAAGCCGAGCGGACAAGTGACGCTACGAACAAGATCAGAGGATGGGGTGTCGGAAAGAGTGACGAGGAGGAGGCAGAAAAATGGAGACGAGGGCGAGTAAGAGAGATGGATGAGGTGAGGAGAAGAGAGAGTGAGAAGAGAGGATATTTCTTTTTATTTGATGCTGGGGAGGGAAGAGATGAGATAGCATGCCAATAGGATGAAAAAGGATGGAAAGGGAACAATGTAGTTCTGGTAAAGAAGGTGATAGGTGAGTGAAGAGAGGAGGTGAACGGAGCGGAGGGAAGAGGATGAGTGAATACAAAATAAAACTGGGTTCAAATGATATCAAAAGAAAAGAATGGAAAAGTTGAGAGTTTAGAAAGTGAGAGAGTAAGAGTTAAAATGTGTGTGCAATGTATGGGGCCATGACGGCAAGATCCTCAAATAAAAAGTGGTTGTGTAGTGTTAGTGCCTGAGAAACATAGGTAAGTCTATTTTTGAATACGTCCTCGAACACTCTACTGACAAAATGCGTTTTGATGAGAAATATCAGATATGAAAGTCTTGTATTTCTTCAGAATGGATTCATCGAGGACATAGCTCACACTGCTCCAAGCTTGAATACTTTTTTTTGGTCACTGAGAAACATTTTTTTTGCACATTGTTCAACAGAGTTAAACAGCCATTACCGGTTCAGTGTGAATCAAGGTTTGAATCTATATTACAATGGGCCCTGCGGTGCTACTGTCACAGTGACCACCCTTACACTGCTGGTGGGTATTTCATCTGAAATCTGCACTGAAGTAAAAACATGCTATGGTACATGTCCTGCGCAGACAGTTTTTTATCTTTTCTACACCTCAGCCACCTCACTCTTCCCCTCTGGGGCCTCTGCAATGCTTGAACACTTTCCAAATCTTAAATTCAGCACCCGTCGACCAGATGCCTTGGGGTTTCACCACCAGCAGTCACCAGAGTCCGTCTCACCTGCCTCTCATTCCTGAACAGCCACACATAAACCTGCCCTCCATCTCTCTTACATTCAAGTCCATACATCCATGAGATGATCAGATGCACAACTAATTATAATAGATCTTAAAACAAATGCAGGGTATCATGGCCACAATCCCTTGATTATTTTCTTTACAATCACAAACTAAACACTAGGATTACAGCATTTACAACGCACATTTCTGTTATTTGATATTTCAATTGCGATTATGTTTCAGACAACCCGGTATCACGGCAAGACGTGAACATGTGACGATTTACCATGCTGGGAGACGTGAAGATGTCACGATTTCGTCCCTTCAAACGTGACAGCTACACGGTATTGTTAACCCATGTTAACCAGTGGAGAAATACCCGGAAATGCCAAGCAAATGCTACCCCGACGGTCGATTTATTTTTTAATAGTCACACTCGATTACGCCGATTTTCTTGTTGCCCCAGCTGGTCGACACCTCTTTTAGCAGAAACAAAGGCTACATTAATGTATTAAATCGATGTTAATCCATGCGTGTGGATGTGGAATTAACGGAGGTGACGTTGTGCGATTGCGTTGCCAGGCAACAGCTTCGGTTCATGTTAATTTACAAACTCTTCAACTACAACCGTAGTTATATTTAAAAACATGTTAGAAGGCCTCACAAAATACTTTAATGTACATTTAAATTAAAATGTGTACAACAAAATACATCATTCATAAACGAAACCGGAAACAGACGTAGGCAAGATCCTCAGCTCGATGATTGGATGGTTTATCCGCAATGCACGCTGGGATTTGGTGTTTATGCGATGTGAAATCCGAAAACATTTTTTTTAAAATAAAATAATACTTTATTCCGAGTGTGCTTGCTTTTCTCTTTGAAAGTCATCACATGATGGAATTGTAATACACGGTTCGGCTGCATTAAATATTACATATCTGCCGTAGTTCTCTATTTATAGAGCCCTGATGAGAAGACTTCTAGACAAACATGAGGAACTGCCGCCAACACTGAAAACGTGA